CAGCGACTTGAAAAGAATCTATTTGATTTGCTTTTCCAGATACAAGACTTGGGGGCAGTCAGCAGCAAGCAAGAGTGACTGATATCCAAAACATTGCTTATAAAATGCTTTGTATTTGAATAATGATTTCCATCTTATGAGGATCATTTATACACATTATCTAATTGGATGTGAAAATATTCCTGATTCAGGAAAGCAAGGTTCAGAAAGGTGAAGACTCTTGCATGAAGTCACTCAACTCACAAGTTGCAAAGGTGGGATCAGAACCCAAATCTTCCAAGTTCAAGTCCAGTGCCTTTGACACAACAAAATGTTGCCTATTCATATTACATCCCATGAGGGTGACCAGTTGGACATCTTGTGGGGAATCAGGGCTATACTTTTTTACTGGACTTTACTTTTGCAGTCTCCATGTGATTTAGGTGCCATTATTAAGATATCAAGAGTCATCTGAATAATAATAGTACTGGCTCTTACTTGTCAACCATAAATCTTATCTACTCCTCGTGATGGCCCAGGAAGGGAGACATTATTATCTCTATCTTACACAGGAGGAAACTGAAGCGGTTAGGTAACTTTTCCCAACACACGGCTAATAAGTGGTGGAGCCAGGGCATAAGCACAAATTGATCTATGTCTTTTCTCTCTGTTCTGGGTTGAAAGATGAAAGGCATTCGCTGCTTAGGCCTCAGGAAAGGACACACCAGCAAAGCTTGGTAATTGCAAGCCTGAGTTAGACCAAATTATTTATTTTTTAAAAAAAAAAGAAGAAAAGATTTTATTTATATTCACCACACACTGCCTTATATGACTGAATAACAATATTTGTAGTTTTTGTTAATGTCATAGAATTTTTCATCATTTTAAGGCAGTTGCACATATTCTTAATCTTTTCAAAAATTAATTTTCCTTACATTTAAATGTTTATATTTAAATTCAGTAGAAGTTCTTTTTCAAGAATATAATTACACCTCCAACATGTAGCTGAACTATGTAGCTGACTTGTTCATTCCTTTTTTAAAAAAAAAAACAAATTTAGACCAAATTATTTAAGCTTATCCCAAACTCCTGACCTCCCATTGAGTATCTTAGAAATTGAACCTGTAGTCGGGTCTTCGCTGGCCAAGACCTCCAGATGCCCTTGTCCACGGGGCTCATAGACGTTTATGGTGTCAGAACTGGAAGGAAACAAAGTTCCTCTAATCCAGCATGTCCTCTTTACAGATGGTGAAACAGACCCAGAAGGAAAAACATAACTTGCCAGGGTTGTCAGGGCTAATTCCTTGCAAAACCAGCACATTCATTTGATTTTTTTAGGCTCCAGGCCCATGATGACTCCTGGACTAAGCACTGGCCTTGCCTACCACCTGTCAGAGCTTTCCTCAAGCAAGTAAACAGAGAGGCAGAACTCACTGGGCTCCGTGCAGCAGCGTCTAGAGCTGCCCCTTCTCCCTACTCCATCCCCACCCAGCTGGGCGAGCTTGCCGTTTTTCCAAGGCAGGGCCAGCCTGTCCCGAGCTGCAAGATGTATTAATCAATTTGATGAGGATGTTAAAGCTTTCTCTTTGCAACTAATTATGGCCTGATTTATAGGCCTGGCCTTGGTTTGATAGAGCTCTCTTCCTGACAGGGATAAATGCGATACTGGCATGGACCCCTTCATCTCTTCCATTTCTCTCTCTTCCTCCCTCCTCCCTCCCTCCCACGTCTCCTGCCTCCTGACTCTGCTCTTGGTTCCCACAGGAACACCCTAATGACATGTTGACAAGCTGGTGAAGCATAGCTCCCTCTCTGTTGCATCTGCCTCTGGCACCACCATTCCTAGTGTATTCTCGACATGGGCAGATGGAGGCCCTGGCAGGCTCCAGCCACCCCTCAGGTGCTGAGCTAGAAGAAACTCTGTACACCCCTTCCTTCTGGAAACAGAATAATAAAACTATTTTGGGTTGACACAGCATCTTCCTTCCCAAACACTTCAAGAGCTTGTTGAAATGAACTTCATCCCCAATTGAACTGGGTTCAATGGAGGGTTTCAGATAAGTTTTACTCTGGTTATTTTACAGATGGGAAAACTAAGGCAGGGAGATGAACTTTCCTGTGAGTCCACACACAGTAGGACAGTAAAGGTGAGAATGGATTGCTGTCCTGACTTCTAGCTCCAAGATCTTTCCACTGCGGGGGTCTTTGAGTCACCTTGCTGTACTGTTCCTAGGAACCCCTGCCTCCAGGTTGGCTTCGTGGTACCCACAACAATTTGACAGAAGGGGAGCCCTCGCGTATACGTTGGTTTCCTAACCTTAGGCATGAGGGGTTTTGTGACTGTGGTATGCAAATAGCATATGAAATAAGATGTAAATCAGCACTTGGCACAGCTTACATACACTCATACACACGTACATACACCCGTACACACATACATACACCTGTAACACACCCATACACACACCTGTACACAGTACATACACCCGTACACATATACATACACCCATACACGTACATACACACATACATACACGCGTACCTACACCCGTACACACGTACATACACCCATACACACGTACACATGGGCCAGTTTCCAGCAATCTTTATGTCACACAGAGAAATAAGGGACAACCCCAAATAATCCCCTGCCTTAGACTTGAAGGCCACAGATTCAGCAGGGCTCTGTGGGAAGCTCCCCTATGTGGGGTAGTTCCTTGTATTCTGTCCCCTGAGGACTAAGACCGCTTCCCAAAAGTGCCAATGGAGAGACACAAAATGCACTGTATAATATTTCTACAAAACATTGGTCTCTGCAGGGTGCTAACCTGAATAGAGCCAAAGTAAAATTTCAAACCTAACCTGAACCTGAGCCTTAACCTTACCCCAACCCTAAATCTAAATAACTTCCCAACCTTAATGCTAAACTAACCCTCATCTAAACTCAAACCCAACACAAGATCTAAACATCACCTGATCCCAGACCACAATCCTAACTCTAAAATAATCCTAACATCAACCACAATCCTTATCTTAACTCAGCGGTTCTCAACCCGAGGTGACTTTATCCCCTCCCTCAGAGAACATTTGACAAGGTCCGGAGATATTTTCGGTTCGTACCCTGGGGGTGGGAGCAGGTACCATTGGAATCGGGTGGGTAGAGGCCAGGGTTGCTGTTAAATGTCCTCACAAGCACAGGGCAGCCGCCACAACAGAATTCCCCAGCCTCAAATGTCAGTAGTGCCATGACTGAGAAACCCTGCCCTAACCTTAACCTAACCATAATTCTAAATTAAACTAATACTAACCCCAAACTTAAACCTAATTTCCCAACCCTAAATTCACTCTAACCTAAACTTGAATCCGAACTCAAAATCTGAACTTCACTGAAACCCCAACCCATAATCCTAACCTAGATTCTAGGTATGAATCAAGCCCAATCCGAGCGCTAACCCTAATGGCATCCAGATGGGTGCTAGGATGAGAAGCGCGTACCTAGAGCCTGTCCTGCCGCTATTTCCCTTGTTTTTCTTCACATTCCATGAGTGATTGTTCAGACCGTTCTGGATTGTGTAGGTTCTCTATTTCTCCTGAGCTCCATTATGTCTCCTGACCTGCGTTATGGCACTGCTCATGAGCTCTCTCTCCCCGGAAGAGAAGATATTAAAGGAGATGAAATTCACACTTGGTTGAGCAGTTAGCTGTCTCAGAGGACACTGGCAAAGGAGGGTCATTTTAAAATATATGTCTTATAGAATATATAATACGATTTGGGGGGAAATCCTAATAGTGATGCTGTTTAGTGGCAATATTCTTTTTTTTAAATATTCTCTTAAATTAAGAAAAGTTTATTTATTTATTTATTTATGGTCGCGCCGCACAGCTTGCGGGATCTCCGTTCCCCGACCAGGCACTGAACCTGCGCCACAGCTATGAAAGCCCAGAATCCTAACCACTAGGCCACCAGGGAATTCCCAAGGAAAGTTTAAAACTGCTCTCCCACTTGATCTTTAAATTACCTTAAAGGTTGATGAGTCAGGCTGTATTATCCTCACCTGATAAATAAGACACTAAAGTACAGAGGTGTTAAAGGCTTTGCCCAAGACTGCACAGCAAGGTAGCAGGAGAGCTTAGCCAGATGGCTTGATTCATCATCTAGTTTCTACTTTTCTACCCTGCCTGTGACCTCAACTACTATTATCTCCCATTTCCTTACATTTAGTGCAGATATCCAAGAATCCTAAACGTTTTTTTTTAGAATTTGGCATAACATCAGGAGTGTGTCCAGGGTTTGAGAAGGGGAAGCAGAGCCAGTAATGAGTGTGGAATGAAGAGTATTAATCCAAATGACCAAGTGTTCAATGACAAACACTTTTAAAAGCTGCAGCTTGAATTGGGGGAGGGGTCATGTGGAGAGACGGTAACCAGGAAGGCAGGAACAGGTGAAAGCCCTGGAGGATGGGACTTGGTGTCAGGTTGAAGAGCTGACGGTATACAATGAGAGGAACCTGTTCAGAGCCTCAGGGAGAACTAAGGACTGCCCTGATTTCCCTACATTTTTCCTTCTAGAAGGTCAATGCTACCTTTTGGGGCAAAAACTTTCCCAGGACTCTCCTTCACGTGGAACCTGGAGCCTTACATCCACAACTGCATGAGCATTACAGAGGCTTGTGACAGAGCAGAGTTTGCTCAGATGGACATTAAAAAAGAAAGCAGTGAACAGCGAGGGGTGAGGGGAAACCAGGCCATAAAGGGTGTGACTGACGAACTAGTTGGGAGGAGCAGAGTTAGCGAGTCCTGGTGAGTCGTGCTGAGTCATGCAGTCCTAGAATGTAGGGCAAACCGGGCATCTAGAGATTAAATGTAGAGGAAAGGGCCCTGGACTCAGGCCAGGAGACCTATATTTGAATCTCATCTCTGATGATGCAGACCTTAGACAAGCCACTTCTCACAATTTCTCCATTTGGAAAATAAGAGGGTTGGACTAGAACTTAAAGTCCTTTTTAACTTTGACATTCTAGAATTCCTGACTTCCAAATCAAAACCACACTGTGACATGGAAACAACCTAAATGTCCATCGACAGATGAATGGATACAGAAGATGTGGTACATACAAGCAGTGGAATACTATTCAGCCATGAAATAATGAAACAATGCCATTTGCAGCAACATGGATGGACCTAGAGATTAGGATACTAAGTGAAGTAAGTCAGAAAGAGAAAGACAAATACCATATGATATCACTTATACGTGGAATCTAAAATATGACACAAATGAACTTATCTGTGAAACAGACACACAGACATAGAGAACAGACTTGTGGTTGTCAGGGGGAGAGTGGGTGGGGGAGGGATGGCTTGGGAGTTTGGGATTAGCAGATGCAAACTATTATATATAAAATAGATAAACAACAAGGTCCTACTGTAGAGCACAGGGAACCATATTCAATATCCTGTGATAAACCGTAATGGAAAAGAATATGAAAAGAAATATATATATATATGTATAAAACTGAATCACTTTGCTGTACAGCAGAAATTAACACAACATTGTAAATCAACTATACTTCAATAAAAACAAACAAACAAAAAACCAGCCTGTGCACATCTTTTTCTAATTCTGTCTTCCCTCTGCACTCCCCACTGGACACTTATTGGATTTGTTTTCTGGTGGGTAGAAGTCCCTGGTTTCTCCCATTAGACACAAGCCTCTGAAAGACAAGGACCATCTGGAACTCCTAGCCCTTGGAGCCTCCAGTATAGTGCTTTGCTGGCAAAAGAGGCTCCATGAGGTCCACAGGCACAGATGCCTGACTTGTCACGTGGCCTCCCCTGTGTTCCCGAAGTTACCGTGCCCTGGCCCCAGGCCTCAGGACTGCCTGGCCAGGAGTAGAGGATGCCAGGAGACCTCCACAACTGCCCATTAATCCTGCTGGAGTTGGAGGCCCCTCCACCCTGAGGAGCTGATGTTTCTTGATGAGGAGCCTGGCTACCCTGAGTAGATGAAAAGCCACCTTCACAGTGAAGCGAATTCCCTCAGACCCAAAGCAACTGTTCCTCGATGTCTCCCAAAACAAAATCCTCATGAATAAATAATAGGGGAGAAATGAGTTTTCCCAAGAACAAAAGCAGAGTTGAAGGAGTTATCAAAAGAAGTTGGTTGGGATCTTTCATCTCACGAAACATATCGCTTATGTGTCGCCCCAGACTCCCCTTGCCAACCCCCCTCCCATTCCACTGATCTGGAGCCACATCCTGCTTCTCCCTCACATGGAAACAGGCAGCACCTAGGAGATCATCTGCTCAGACTTTCCTTCAGAGGAAAAGAAAAACCACAAACAGCTGCCCTACAAGCCCTCCTGCCAAATTCCAGCTTAGACTGGGGATCTCGGTAACCCCATCAGTATCTGAGCTGGAGCTCACTTCTCCAGAGACAGAGGGGCTGCCAGCATTGCTACAGAGTCCCTGGAAAAGGCAAAGGATACATGGTGGGTTTGTACCTGGGCCACCCATGGAGAGGTGTGCCGAGAGCTGCACCCAAGGGCTGAGCCCTGGACCAGGCCCTGCCTTGCCAGTTGGGAGGTGGAGTGAGTCCCTTCCCCTGGCTCCACCCTACGCCTTCAAAAGCTCTTTCCTTCTGCAATCAAAAGAAATCCAAGTTAGGGCCTCATTCCCTCTCATCTGGATCCCAGGGGAAATGCAAATACCCTTGGGAGAAAATGTACCTCTGTGTGAATGAACATATCAGAACCTGGCCAGAGTAGTTTTGTTTTGTTTTGCGGTACCCCGGCCTCTCACTGTTGTGGCTTCTCCCATTGCGGAGCACAGGCTCTGGACGCGCGGGCTCAGCGGCCATGGCTCATGGGCCCAGCCACTCCGCGACATGTGGGATCTTCCCGGACCGGGGCACAAACCCGTGTCCCCTGCATCGGCAGGCGGACTCTCAACCACTGCGCCACCAGGGAAGCTCCAGGGTAGTTTTGCCGAAAGAGAAGGTATGACAGAGCAGGAGGACCCTGGTGAGGCAGCGGAGTGAAGGCGTCAGGGGTACAAAGTTCCTACAGGGTCAACACTGCAGGAGGCACCTCAGACACCACGTAGAACAAACGCCTCGTGTGGCAGGTGAGGAAACCAAGGCCCAGAGAAGAAGACTGTCTCTCCAGTGTCACACAGCAAGTTAGTAGCAGGAGCTACAACTCAAGTCTCCTGACTCTTAGCCCTGTGCCAGCTGCAGAAAAGGAAAGCCCAAGGCCTGAATGATAAATTTTGCCTGCTTCACAGGTTTGCCAGGGGCTACCCTTTCCACACCTCCACCTTAGTAAAACTTGGTTCCACTAGGAGTGACCTCTATTCTTGGCTGGGAGCAGTTGCAAAGCAGCATGAGTGGTTAGAAGAGGGTGGATGAGACTGGGGAAGGGGGCTGAAGATCTTCCTGAACAAAGGTTTTGAGAGAAGTCTGAATCTTCACCTGCATCAGACTCTGTAAACGATGTTAAACCCTGACTTGGAGTGGGGTTACTGGCTAGCACCCCTTTCTGGCCCCGACTGCCCAAAGAAAAATAGTAATGCCATCATCTTTGGGTGCAAAGGATGACACACTAGTAAATTATTCCTTGTGTGGATTCCTCTAAGGACACATTCCTTTCCTCCTTATCTTATAGTTGTTTCTGTAATGGAAGAAAAATAGAACCTTAGAATCAGACCTGGATATGTGGCTTAAACTTTTTTTTTAATGTTTTATTGTGGGAAATATACATAACATAAAATTTACCATCTTTAAAAAAGATTTTTATTGAAGTATAGTTGATTTACAATATTGTGTTAGTTTCAGGTGTACGGTAAAGTGATTCGGTTACACATATATATGTATATATCTACATTCTTTTTTTATATTCTTTTCCATTATAATTTATTACAAGATACTGAGTATAGTTCCCTGTGCTACACAGTAAATCTTTGTTGTTAAAATTTACCATCTTAGGGAGTTCCCTGGTGGTCCAGCGGTTAGGACTTGGTGCTCTCACTGCTGTGGCCCCAGGTTCAGTCCCTCATCTGGGAACTAAGATCCTGCAAGCCACATGGCACGGCCAAAAACAAAAAACATTTACCATCTTAATCATTTTTTAAGAGTATAGTTCACCAGTGTTAAGTACACTCACATTGGTGTACAACCAATCTTCAGATCTGCTTTCATCTTGAAAACCTGAAACTCTGTACCCATTAAACAACCACCCCCATGCCCCCCTTCCCTCAGTCCCTGGCAACCACCATTCCATTGTCTGTCTCTATGAATTTGACTGCTCTGGGTACCTCATATAAGAGGAATCATACAGTATTTGTCTTTTTGTGACTGGCTTGTTTCATTTAGCATAATGTCCCTAAGGTTCATCCATGTTGTAGCATAGGAAACACAGAATTTCCTTCCTTTTTAGGGCTGAATAATATTCCATTGTATGTGTATACCACATTTTCTTTATTCATTCATCTGTTGGTAGACCCTTGAGTTGCCTCTGCCTTTTAGCAATTGTGAATAGTGCTGCTATGAACATGGGTGGATGCATATCTCTTTGAGACCCTGCATTTTTATACCCAGAAGTGGAATTGCTGGATCATATGGTCATCCTAGTTTTCATTTTTGAGGAAATTCCATACAATTGGCTTAAACTTTGAAGGCCTTTGGTTTTCTTCATGGTTTTCTTCATCTATAAAATAGGCTCAAGGTTGTTATGAGTATTGTAAAAATAATGTACATAAAGCTCTTGGCTTGAGGCTTGGTACGTGGTAGGAATTTAAGAAATGGTTGTTCTGCATGGACTCTTGAGGGGCTGTGTTTTTTTCCGTATCCCAAGTATTTAGCACCGTGCCAGACACATAGCAGGTGTTTGATGCATGACTGTTAGTGAATGAATAAATAATCAATAAACACATCCTTGTAACTCCTGAAGTACTTAGAATAATTCTGTACATTGTAAGTGCTCAATAAATGTTAGTTGAATGAATGCATGTAGTATTTCTTATAGACGCCTATTTTTCCCGTATCCCACATGAGAAAAGGAATTTGCTCACGTCTAAAGTTCCTGGCAGGACAGGGACTTCCCTGGTGGTCCAGTGGTAAAGAATCCGCCTTCCAATGCAGGGAATACAGGTTCATCCCTGGTGAGGGAGCCAAGGTTCCACATGCCGCGGGGCAACCAAGTCCACGCACCACAACTACTGAGCCTGTGCACACCGCAAAGAGGGAGAAGCTCACATGCTGCAAACTACAGAGCCCACGCACTCTGGAGCCCGTGAGCCTCAACGAAGATCCCGTGTGCTGCAACTAAAACCTGATGCAGCCTAAAAAACTAAATAAATAAATATTTTTTAAAAAGATAGTTTAAAAAATAAAATAAAATAAAGTTCCTGGCAGGACAATTCAGAATCAAGTATTTGGCCTACTGCCACTTTTGCCAATGCTGACAAGAACTCCCATTTTCCAAGGTCCCTCCCTTTCCTTTACCCACAGCAAGTGAATTCCATCGCACGAGGAGGGTAAAGGAGGAAGATCTCCACCTGAAAGTAACCAGAGCACTTCCAGGCTGCACTGGGCTTGCTAGGGTTTCTCTCTTCCTATCATGTTCATAGAACACTTACCATGGGCTCCAAGGCATATTGCAAAGCCTTGTCCGTGTTGAATATGTTAGTCTATGCAACTCAGAGAATCTCAGTCACCAGGCCCAAGTCCAACAGCAATTACCAGGTCTCACCTCACAGCAGCATCTCTGTTCTGTGGCCGCCTGCTTGACCCGGGGGCTTACCTGCTTCTTACAATGGAACCCGAATCTTTTTTTCTTCCCACAAGTTTGGCTTCTACTTTTCTAAGCACTGCCCACAATACACCCAACATTGTAACTACTCAGCTCCCTAGACCTCTGTATACTGCCTTTTCTTTTTCTGAAATGTCCTTCCCATTCATAAGTATATTGGTCAAAACTTGCCCACAGTGGTGACTGGAAGCAAGATCAAGAGGAAGGGAAACTCCCTCCCAGGTGTATGGATTGGGAACACCCTTAAGACATCC